AACCCTTCCCTAACCCTTCCCTCTGAGCTGATTGCTAACCTGGCTTTTTTATGGTTGAAAAAATTGCAGTCCCTGGGGTGAAAGTCCCTACAAGGATGCTGTGGAAAGAACTCCATTAGGGGGCTTGTCTCTTTCTGCTTTCCTGTCTGAGGTTCGTACCTCTAGTTTTCTTTCTCATCCCCCTCTCCCTGGTAGTTGCATTTGTCAAGAGGGTTTCCTAACTCTTGAAAATTTCTTCCAACATATTCCATATTATTTTCTTTCAGAATCAGATAATTTGGAAATATGCCTTCCCTTGCTTTAATTCCCTACATTCATGGCACAGTTAACTTGTTCGAATGTAGTAGGTGGATCGCAACTCAAAATTTGACTGATCATGTTTTCACTTCCCTTTTAAATTCTTTTCTATTGAGTAGAAGGATCATTAGGATATTTAGCTTATAGATTTTGCGCTCTAGGATTTCATTAATAAAAGGGATTGTGCTAGTCTGCTATTTCTGGTTTATTTCACATTTAATGCCTATAATGTTGCATATTCTAGTTGACATACTCTATAGGAGCAAAAATAATTTCTGTTAAGGCATTTTCTTTAAAGATCCAAACTGCTAATGCTTGCCGATAACAATATCAGTGGGCTCTTATGACGTTGCTGGAACCAGCTCAAAGTTTGGCCAACTTGATATACATCGGGTATAACTGTGGTGCTGCATCAGCACTCCGTCTTACCAGGAGAAGATCAGTCGATCGAAAGAAACAACAGACAGATCGAAATGTTTACCAGTGCTTTGTTTTTGGTCCTAAAGGATCTGGCAAATCGGCCTTGCTGAAGTCATTATTGGGAAGGTATCTATTTGAACTTAAGCTAGTGAATTGCTTTTGTTGATAGCAGTTCTTGTTAATGGCTTTTAGAAATATCCAGTTTTTAATATTATGAGCAGATCTCCATTTTTCCTAAGATTGGCCAGGCAAATACATATCTCCCTTTGTCATTTTTCTTTACTATTCTTTGTCTGACAATTTCTGATACATAACTTTTGTTCACCAAAGGCCTTTCTCAGAAAATTATGCGGCGACAACTGACGAGCACTATGCTGTTAATGTTGTTGACCGTCTTGGGGTAAGTGCTCTCAGAAGATTATCATTTGACTTGATAGGATGTTATACTTGATCTTTCAAACACTTGTCTGCCTGTGTGCTGCAAGTATGGTATCTTAGCTTCTGCGCAAATGATTCCCTATTAATATGCATAGTGTTAATTAGAAGAGTCTTATGCTTTTCTTTGATGCATGGATACACATCCTCTGTTAATTAAAAGAGTCATTGCATTTACAACTTTATTCCCTTGTTGAATGCTCTCGAGATTGAATGTAAGTACATTCCCATAATACTAAATATGATTTTTATGCAGGGAACTAAGAGAACTCTTGTACTTGGGGAGATTCCAGAAGACGAAGTTAAGATGCTTCTATCTAATAAGGAATCTTTGGCGTCTTGTGATGTAGCAGTGTTTGTATATGACAGGTGAATAATGCAAAATCTGAATTAGACTAAAGGCTTTTCTGCACAGTAAAATTCATTGTTATACACCAACGCTTGGATATAGAGAGGTTGTTCTAAAATTTTATGGGGGTGAAAAGCCCTGTGTTTCTTTCACTTACAAAGGCAACTCTCTTATTCTAACATTTCTTTTTGATCAGGCCCTCCTCTCTCTTATGCTAACATTATTTTGGGAAATCACAACTATTGACGTGTACACACAAACACATCTTTAACCATCAGGAGTATGGACTGCTCATAGGCTCCATCTTTTTTAAAGTTGTACAAAATCAGCTAGCAGAAGCATCTGTTGCTGTGATGCAACTTGGTTATATCACTCTGTATATTTGTTGGTTAAAAATTGATATTATACTGGATCCTAGATTAATCCATCCATAGTGGTATATAGGCCATTAGATGGTACATTATCGTGGCTCTTTTGTTTTTACATGTTGTTGGGTCTATTTAATGGTTAATCACAATTTTGTTCCCCACCCTTGCGGTCAAAGAATAACCCCCTCCATGATATGTATGACATTTACAGACTAGTTATGGTTCCATCTGATATTAACCTCATATCTTCTCTCTTACTATGTTATT